AGAGTGATGGACTTTCTTTACATCCCTTCAACTCCATAAAAAGTTACGGTAAATTCATGTTAAGTACACGTTGAAGGTTACCTTAGTACTCTCCCTATTCGTCATAATTTGTGCAATCTCCTGCAAATACAATAATATTTGTCCCAGTTATAAACAAGTGACGTCGTTTGAACTTTGCAAATTTTCACATGAGCTACATAAAATTTTTTTAAAAAGATAACCTTTGGTGGTTTTGTTAAATTTTGTGCGAAACAGCCCTTAAAAGTCATGTATCGGTTCACCCTTGTAGAAAACAAAACAATCAAAAATTTAAAAGTCAACTTTTTCACATGACAAACTTGCGTCATAGGTATCGAAAAAGAATCAAAACATGGCAGAACAGCAGTAAACAAAATTTTTCTCTTTTTTTTTCTACCACGTGGCTTGTTGACATTCATGCATCCGTTCTAAGTAAAGCTTGGAGAAAAAACCCTTAACCAGTTCGCGGTTGGGCCCAAAAGTCGATCAGCACCCCTATTTTTTCTATCTGGAATTTATAGCCATATATAGCCCTTCCTCACAAAGTGGCGGAAGGGGTGCTGCGCAGCGTGTCGAATATTTCGCAACTGACTTTTAACACACTGTTTTCCTTAAGTGCATTTGCACGAATACTGGTAGTAACAGGTGCGACCGCGCCGCTTTAACATCTTCACAACTAATGTAAATAAATTATATAAATTGTGATTTGGTAGGTTAGGAGAAATACGCACTGCCTTAATACTGATTTTTCCAATATGTGAATTTTGACATTGTTGTATGAGCTAAGGATATGTCAAAAATTTAGCTTTCTTATGCAGGTACATCATCTTGGACGAGCTGCAATCCCGTACGGAAAAGCTCTTCTATCGTGTACTTTGCGAAAATGTCAAGGAATTAATGCCAATCGTTTATACTCCAACTGTAGGATTGGCTTGTCAGAGATTTGGAGAAGTTTATCGTCACCCAAAGTGAATTTCCGTTCTTGTTCATCTTCTATCAACCTTAAGAAAAATATTTTAAAGAGGTCTCTATATCACGATTAACGACAACAGCGTCAGCAAGATTTACAAGATTTTGAGCAATTGGCCAGAACAAAATATTCAGGTTTATTCAAATTATATACACCCTAAAGCTCGCTGCTTAGTTGGTTCAATTCAGGCTATTGTGGTGACAGATGGGGAACGAATCTTAGGACTTGGTGATTTGGGAGCTTACGGGATAGGTATTCCCGTTGGAAAGATGGCACTCTATGTTGCGTTGGGTGGAATTCAACCACAATGGTGTCTGCCTGTGGTCCTTGATGTTGGCACAAACAATCAGGTACTTAGATACTTTACAGAATATTTGTATGGTAAAAAAACCGATCACAATAAAAAGAAATCAATATCTTGAAAAACGCCAACGACAAATCCACTAAAATTCTCTCCATTTAAAAACTTAAGCGGCTGCTCGATGATCCATGCTACATTGGTCTGAGACGTAATCGCGTACGCGGCCCACAATATGACGAACTAATCGATAACTTCATGAAAGCTGTTACGAAACGGTAAAACTTCCTCATATTCAGGATTTATGAGATATCCAAGCAAGAAGTGCTTTTAGATTCGGTCGCGACACTTTGATTCAGTTTGAGGACTTTGCCTTTGCAAATGCATTTACACTTCTCGACAGATATAAAGATGATTACTGCACTTTCAACGACGATATTCAAGGTGATCAGAAAACTTGTATACACCTACATCAAATCATCTTAAATTCATAGTTTTTAGGAACAGCAGCTGTAGCTGTCGCAGGACTGCTAGCCACAACTCGAATAACGAAATTAAAACTTTCTCAGCAAAAAATTGTCTTCCTTGGAGCTGGAGCAGTAAGACTTTGCTTTCTAAGTCAC